CCTGCGAGAGGGCAAGCAGACAAGAGAGGACGCCGCGAAGCTCGAAGCGCAATATAATAGCGAATCGAAATTCGATTTCACCAGCGGCAGGCGAGCTGTTATACCTCTAAACCGACACCGGTGGGATCTGACGTTGCATGCAGCCCTAGCATATAGCGTCGATACTGGTCGTAAGATATCGATATATCTTTCGAAGCACAAGTGGGAATCGCGGATACCTACAGCAGAGGAGAGAAAAGCAGCCATGCTATTAGGCGACGAGGGCAAGCTGAGCGCAGCTGGTATGTTCCCTTATGTCGAGGGTATGCCGGTGGTAATCAACGAGAACAAGTATATGGGTCTCAAGGTTGTCAACGGCGCAGAGTTTACAGCCGTAGGAATTCTTCATCCGCCCGGAGTAGAAGAGATCATCAAAAACGACAGGCTGTCCATATTTCTCGGACCGCCTAGTGGTATTATTCTCCAGTCCGAAGAAACGAACGGGTTAGCTTTCCCCCATCTGCCACCTAATACTGTAATGTTGCCAGCAGCCAATATTCGAGTACCAGAAAAGCACATCAAAATACTCCGGCCAGATCTGCAGAAAGCCAATGTAAAACTGGCGCTAGTCCGGACAGGGCTCCCATGCACACCAGGCTTCGCATTAACCGACTTTAAGGCACAGGGGCGGACACTCGAAAAGACACTGTTAGGGCTTTATGGGAGAACAGTGGGTAAGAATACGGGGGAGCTTGAAAGATGCGATGCAGTAAGCATGTATGTTCAGCTATCCCGCGTGCGGCGCTTTGAAGATATCGCTCTCATACAGCCGTTAAACGTAAAGCAGTTCCTAGAGGCGCGCATGCCGGAGGAGCTAGTCGAAGGAACCAAAAGACTAAGGATCCTCGCGGAAGCAACAGTCCGGGCGTTCGAGGCTAGGGAGAGAGATGAAGCATAGGAGGGCGGAATAGTAAATAGGGAGGTAAAACCATTAAGATGAAAGGACAGATTAGTAGTCTTGCCTTGGCGGTTCAGGCATGTCATAAATCGGGTTAACACTAGGTTATTATCGCGTATTGCTATCTTGTATAGTGCTGTTGGACTCATTGCTATGACCAGAAGGAGGGCATACAATAGGCGTAAAGTTAATATGTGCTAGACCCGGAGGAATCCTCCGTACCTCGAATGTCCGCTGGAAAGACAAGACTAAGGAAACCTCCGAAACCTGCTGGCCTAATAGCTGGCACTCGTTCGTTAAGTGAGCTATCGAGGCGTGGATTGCTTCTAACCGGGATGTAAGGTCTTTGTAATGAGTAACCAGCTCAGAAGCATCCATTCTGGCCAGTGTGGATGCACGCGAGGTAATACCAGGGTTACCGAGAGTCTCTAGTTCTATCTCCCATCGATCCAAGGCAGAGAAAGAGTCAGAGAGAGTACCTGGTGGCTGTCCGATCAAGCCCAAGGATACACCCGAACGTCTAGCGAAAGAAGCATCTAAAATAGTTAATAAAAGAGCAGGACGAAAGAGGACAAAAAACCTTACATACGGTGACTACAACGGGAACCAGTATTATTCCACCAACAGTTAGCACACCCACCATTCGTAGCCCGTAAACCCTCAGCGGACTGCATTACAATACATTGCTTCCACGGACCATTTGAACGGGCACATCGGTCGCATAGAGGTCGGCGCTCAACGCCGGTAGCCTGAACCAGGGCAGCAATGATGCGATAACCATGATCGAACGACAGCGTCTTGCCCTGTTTCCGGGGAGCAAGCTCCCGGGCTATTGGAGAGCAAGATAAAACTTCTATTGTTCGGCTGGTGCGCATAGAGGTGCTCACACCAAGTCGATCCAGCAGGTCACCGCCAGCTAGAGAAAGCATTAGTGACGTAGATATGAAGATGAACAACCAGAGGGGACTTGCTATCACAAAGCACAGGGGGGTTATGGGGCATAGACATAGAGGAGAAATACGATATTATGAAACCAGCAATAGGAAGGACAAGCAATAGATATTAATCAGATAGATAGGAAATCACGGAAGGTAACGATAGGGTGGTATTAGGATGGAAAGTTCGATGGGCGAGGTTGGGCCGGGCTAGGCCAGGGGTTGAAAAGACGGGAAAATGAGAGTGGTTGGCGGGAAATAAATGGAAGAAGACCGGCAAGACATTGGGTAAACGACGGGAAGACCCGAGGACGGCGAACATGAGAGGTGATTGGCCGGAACAGGGGTTAAACGAAGCTGATTGGTCGAACGAAGAATAACGAGCGCTGATTGGTGGCAGGGTCGCTACGACCAATCAGCATCGATTTTTGCTCTAGCCAATCACAGAACAGGAGACCAGGGGGGATCAAGGCACAGGATAGTTTTTTACGCCTTCGCGGATGGAGAAGTTAACCTTCCTAACGGAAGGCAAATAATAGTAAATTAGTTCTAATCGATAGTTCATGATAGTTGAAAGTAGTGTTGTTGACTAGAAGGTGGGGATATTCCCCCTTGGCCTGTCACGTGGGTCTGGGAGGCTTGGGCCTTTCAGCCTGGCGGGCGTGTGTTACGAGCAGGTCAGGGCAACCAACTGTGGCACAAAGCAAAAGCTTCGGTAATGATGACTCCGCCATTATCCCCTGTTCTGCACTATATAGCTACGCCGGCCAGGCACCAACTGGTTGGGCCGTAACACCATGTCTCCCCTCTAAGAGGCATGTCCCTATGCCGAGGACCAATCGGACATATCGCGGGTATAAGCAGGGAAACTCCAGGCTAGTAGGGAACCAATCTACATAATTGCCTGCCCACGGTCGGGCGTCGCAGGGACCAGGGAGGACTGGCGACGTATGGGATTTGAACCCACAACCCTCTACGCGGGGTGGAGTCATCATTGTGTTACGAGCAGGTCAGGGCAACCAACTGTGGCACAAAGCAAAAGCTTCGGTAATGATGACTCCGGCATCATTATCCCCTGTTCTGCACTATATAGCTACGCCGGCCAGGCACCAACTGGTTGGGCCGTAACAGCGTGTGGCTGGAAGTGCCACACGACTCCGTATTCCAACTATCGCAACAGAAGGAGTCCTTGTAAATGACGACTCGGCCCATCCTATGTCGTGGCGACTGGTTAACATTGGCTCATGGTCCGCGTACTCTGGGGTCTCAGCGCAATGAACATAAATGGAAGACAGAAGCCCCCGTCCGCAACTTGTGGGAACGTGGGAAACTCTGATGTTGATGTGGTCGCCAATGGCATAGTCGAGATTACTACCTAAAGATATGTTTTCGGATATCGAAACGTAGAACCAGTATGCTGAAGTTGACACACCAGACCAGAGCAGCAGTAGGTAATTAGAAGAATATGTCACCAGATACTTAAAATAAGAATTACTTAATAATACCAAGTGCGTTCATATCAATAAGTTCAAACCAAGACATTCAAGCACCGTTAACCGCGCCGTTCATTTCCCGCTGCTCCTTGTAACGATTATATCACGCTACTGTGATACCTGTCGTAGCTGGAAACTATGCTAAATGTGTGATATAGCTGCGCGAGACTACGGTATGGCTTTGAGAAAGAGATCGAGGGTGAAGGGTTTCTCAAAGAACATACAAAACAGCAAATAGCGTCTTGGTCTAAGTACATAAGCGCAACGGACAGGGCGAGAGAAATGTTGTCGCCCGGCCCCCTATAATCGAAACCTGAAGATATAGAACGGCGTAAGAGACCCGCGCCTGAGCCCAGAGAGCGGTGCATTAAGTCGTTCGAGGATCTTGGCGGTAAAAGGAAAACACTTGGCAACATACCATCGGCAGAAGAGTGGAAGCTTGAGAGTAAAAAGGAGGGACTCAAGGTGTAGTCGTAAGGTTGTTGCTGTCTCGTTCAATCTATCAATGTAAGTACAAATAGCCTTTTCTTAGTCAACAATTCTTCAATTCGAGAGCACTGCACTACACTGTGAGTATCTACAAGTGACTGAACCATGTACCATAGAAACTCCGAAAACCGGATCAAACTATGAGAGACGGCTGTGGACAGATATACGATTTTACCTGTTGTTAAGTATGCATATTTGAACCACCCTTTAACACAAAATCAGTTGAAGCTGGGTGTCAACTTCAAAATCATCAAGAATAAAGAGTTCATGAAGGAAGTCTATCCTTCAACGGTGTTGTATAATCCAGATCTTCGATTGTATCTGTGGCTAACGGTCTAACATGTATAGACTGGTCCTCAGGGGCGATGTGATATGATTGTTTGCAACAGAGTGTGCTGTGTGAAATGGCAGAATCGTAGTCTGCCTTGCAAAATAATCTTACCACCTTTCGTTCGAATCGATCACTGGGTAACTGCACTGGAATTTGATTTTATTTAGATATCTGGTGTCAATGCCACTTTCTGTTATAGTTATATACAAAACCAACCATGGATGCCACTGACGTGCCTGCTCAGGTGCATTTTGTGGCCCAATCACAGTATGGATGCTTTCATTTCGAGGCAGTGACCTTATGTGTTATTACCTACTCTGCCGTAATATTGCTATAAGGAATATTCACACTTATACGTGAAACTGTACGTAATACCTTTGGACATTATAATTCATCTCCGAGGCATATCTTATAACAGTAGTTCTAATCATTGACGCCTTGATTCTAAAGCTATACACGCACTCAAAAAGGTGCGTTGTGACACACGAAGATCTGTATGTCGCCCCTTGAGTGTTCTGTCATGTATATTTACAATGTGCTATGTGCAGCTCAGTCACATCTTGTACTGCTCCCCGTCTGCTTGCTGTACATGAGCGTATTCGTGTTGACACATCTCAATAGTGATCTTGGGAAAATGTCAGCTATCTAATTCGCACCCAAGAGTACACCAGGCCACTAATGAAACCAATTGCTATCGCTGAAATACTACCCATAGTCACGGGGGCTAAAAGGAAGACTGAGCCACTAATCGTAATAAGTAGTTTGTTAAGAGCACTTATAATAGAATATATCGTTGATAAAGTAACTCGAATATACTATGCTAAACTATACGAGATGAAAATAGTAGCTAGTGTAGAGTAAATTATACCGACGATAATACGTATCTGCCAGGAAATTAGCACATATGACCATACCCATTGGAAAACTCGGAATCTCCTCCGCTCTCCCATAGAGAAGCCAATGAGGGCATGCATCCCACTTGGGTCGGTCTTGACGACTGAGAGAAATGGGGCCTCCGTTTTCAAGTAAACGGAACCGATTATCCAGGGCGCTCCGTCTCCGCTTCCCGCCATACCAATTTACGCCTCTGGAGCTTCAAAATAACTTGTGTATTGTCGCAAATATTACAGGCACGTCCTTGATTTCTGAACGGCCGACATCACATGTGCCGTGATCTCGGCGTTGTTATGGGATAGTTCCACCCCGCTATTCAAATGGCGGTCAGGTTTCCCCACTAGAAAGCGGCCAGTTTGGGGTTCCTATGCTTACGACCGACAAACATAAAAGCTCGATCTTTCCAGGTGACTTCTGACGTCTAGAAAGGTCCCAAACCATCGATTTTCTAAGCGTATTTTATTGCGCTCTTTTTTTATTCTCCGTGTTCGACAGCCCTAGGTTGCAAGACTTAAGCAGTTCTGTATTTGTTAAAATGCCTTAATCACGCGCGAGGCGAAGAGCAAACCGAGTTGATAAATATACCCAAGACTATGAGATAGATAAGGAATAGCTTGAACTCCGGCGGGCAGAGAGAGGAAGTTTAACTGCATTAGCGCGCAGGGGAACTCTTGGTGAGAAGACTAGAAAAGTATATCACACAAGATAGGAGCATTTAGAATGATAAGTGGAATAAATAGTCTCTGAGTAATGTATAGTCAAGTTGTAGAATCTGACTAGACCTTATGATTTAATCTATTTAGATTCTTTTGAAAAGTCGTAAAGAAAAATCTAAACAGGTCTAGCTTAGCCTATATAAGGAAGATATTAAGGCTAAATATCTCTACATAGATTTTCTCAACTGTACCCTCATGACAGACCAGGTTCTATTAGGATATCGCTTTTGAGTAGTTGACTTGTTCGTTTTTCCATGAAAAGATTTCAACTATAAAGCCTTTTCCGAGATAGAACCTAAAGCCTTATATTAGATATGTCTATCAAATTAGGCCGCGAATTATCTTTTGTAGTAATTCTACAACTTACGCTTCTTAGGTACAGTTTGAATTAGAACAACACTTGAAGAAGGCTGATTTATCGTCGCATGTGTGGTCGAAACCGATTCCTTGACGGCAACTGGCCCCGCCAAATGTAGGGGAGCCAGGACTCGAATTGCGGCATTCAGCATTTACTATGCATGACAACGCAATAGCGACTGCGAGAAATTTGACTGAGAAATACATGGGGTTATTTAGAAAGTGAAATGGAACTGTCTGGATGAGTTGTGAAAAATATTATGAATCTAATGCTTCCATTGCGGAGAAGAAGCTCTTATTTATGTTTTGCGGCCATGCGCATCCATAATCGTATCTATAATCAAAATCAAGCCTTTCCAGCGTTAGAGAACACGACAATTCTGCGACAGAATTCATCATCTACCAAAGCCTAAAAGGTGGAGCAGACTAGTAATCAGCCCATCCTTGCGGCAATTATTCCCAAAGCCTCTTCCTATCATGCTACGCGTATAATACTTTATACATGGTTCTTCTCTCTGGTGTAAAGAATTTGACGTCAGTAAAAGTTAATTTCATATGCATGCAGGCGGCCGACTAAGAGTTTTTCTTTTCATCAGCTGTAAGGCCCAGCTGACATTAAAGAGTTCGTTATTTAAGACCTACTGCTATAGTTGTCAAGATTTGGATATCATAAGTACGACTAGCACCATCTAAGCCCCCAGTATAATCCCGAATTACCACATGGACATAATAATGCTGGAATCCAAAGCAGTGATGGTTCTGGTCTTCATTGTCTTTCTGCTCTGGTTACCGTCAACTTGGGTCGAAAGCTAAGGCTCCCCTAAGCGGCTTCTTGCATTCCCAAACGATCATTAAGGCTGCTTCAGTTGCTATGAAACCAGACGACAGAAGATTTAATGCAATTATCTCCTTGTGGAAAGCTCATGACTCGCTCAGATGCTTTTCGGGGGTTTTCGTTCATTTGTTCGGGAGGTGTGAGGAATACGTCGTATACCGCACTGGCCCCTTAGTCTTTAACGCAACGACGGGGCGCAATTGAGCTTGGGGTTGACACATGGATTGTTGGGGCTTTCAAATTATGGATAAGAATGCCAGCGCATACTACGGTAGACGGATCTTATTACTGGTTTTTGCAACATGACTCTGGGGCTTTATTTCTTTTCTTAGAGTGTGACAACCGATAAGTCCTTCGCAAATCCGTTCAATCTTAAATCAGGCGGTCACATATAGAATGATTGTCCATCAAGCTTTGAACTAAATAGGTTGCCATCACTAAGACCACAGTAATCAAGCTGTTGTACTCATGGCTGTGGCGGTTAGGCCCACGCAGCGGAAGCCCTGCGCAGCTGTTACGAGCAGGTTAGGGCAACCAACTGTGGCACAAAGCAAAAGCTTCGATAATGATGACTCCGGTATCAATATCCCCTGTTCTGCATTATATAGCTACGCTGGCCAGTTCTCAACTGGTTAGTTCGTAACAGCAGCAGCCCTAGGAGGACCGTTGGAGGGAGCCTGAGGGAGAGGTTGCCCTAATAAGGAACCTTAACCCGAGCTATCCCGATCAAGCAGCCAAGCGCGAGACCATTATCGGTGGATGGCGTGCTGCAGCCAATGCACCGCCCTATATTCCCGATGTAAGCACAATGAAATAAGTTCACATACGTTAGCAAACAAAGACGAAGCCCCTCAGCTTTGTTCAGCATGGGGCCGGCAAGAACGGGAGCTGGATAAACTAGAATTTGACATCTGCCAACCCTACTGTGAACGCTGCAATCGACGTTTGTGTGATGTTCATTAATGCTAATGCAACTGAAGGATGGGATCGAGAGAGACTTCACGATGATGTTAGCAACGTTTTCATTCTGAACGAGCTTTGCAAGTATACATATGACTTGAATAGTAAACTGCGATATGTATTTATCCGTATTAAACTTGCACAGCTGTTTAAAATATCAGGCAACATCTTGTAGAGATTATGAAATCATTTCGGGACATCGGGCACCACATGCCCCCGGAATCGAGAGCGAAAGCGAGCGTATTCTTTTACGAAAAGAAAATTGTGAGCAGTATTGACGGATGACAGTCATTGTATATGAGTAAGTAACCCTAAGTTTCATTCTACCCAAGCCCCTGTTGCTCCAAGTAGACGTGGCTATCGCTATTGTCCTATATTCCTATACATAATTTCAAAGATGTCGGGTAACTGCGGATCCCGTGAAAAGAGGCATTTCAAGCACACTTGCCATCCAAGCCCTCCCTGCGATTGTTACACTATAAGATAGTCGTGCACTACACCCACTCAAACTTCATCTTCATAGCACTTCGCAAAAGCCGCTGCCTTCTATCAACTACTCTCATCACTTTGAAACAATCAAGGATCATGATTCCCTCCCAGTTCATCTCCGTCCTTAGCGTCACTGCTCTGTTTGGATCGGTATTAGCTTCTGTGCTGCCACGACAAGGCAGCTGCTATGCAACCTCTATCTCCGCAAATGTGGCGCTTTCCTGTCCAGGCGTCCCCGAGAAGAGTTGCACGCCCGGTCAAAAAGTTGGAAAAACCCTCGGCACCTCGAGAAACTGTGAAAATGCCCTATGCAAGTGCTCTATTAGGGTATGTATTATACCTGTAAGCTTCTAAGCATGCTAATTAGGCAAAGTTTGAATGCTGCACTAAATGATTGTCTGCAACAATGGTGCCTCAGTATTAGAGTAGTGCAAAGAAGGGGTTTAGAAATTTAGCTAAAGAGTATTGCTTCAGCAGAATATCCCATTTACGCAAACCTGCACAGATTGCCTGTAAATAGTTCCGCTGTAGGGGTATCCTCATTCTCCTTGACCTCTTTTTTCTCTTGCATCGTAAAGGGATCAGATCTAGTAGTGTTTTTCTCTCCCACATGTTTTCATTTTAGAAATCAGCTACATTAAATCAAGTTCATAGATAATACAACATTCTGATCACCTAGCGCTATAAGAAAGCGGCCCACGTAATTGTCGCATGCGATGTTGGGAAGTTGACTGTTAGCGTTAAGTATGGATTTGCGTTTCTCTAGGGCAGACATTGAGGTGAACGACCCGAAACGCGACCTAATCAGCCCTAATTGACGGAACCATGGATCGAAAAACGACCTCAAAAGGAACAGTGGTGACGGCGGCGGCGGAAATAGTGGGAGCAGCAATGGCAGAGCGATGTTTCTGTAAGTAGGATGAGAGGAAGGGTACTAAATAAGAACATATTTAAGTTACTTTATATACTTATGTTTTGATTGTGGTAAAAGTTAACTCATTTCAATTGACTTTAAATATATCTTTATAATCTTAAAATTTGTTTTAATTCTAAAGCTACTTTATAACATTTTATTTATACAACGTTGAATGGCCTATAGCCATATTACGATTACACTTTGCAACGTATGGGGTGACCAAAAATATTCTTCTGTAAATTCTGTGATAATTCTTCGAAGTTCTATCTGATGGGTGAAACGGCAGCTGTCCCTATCATACGTGAACAGTTGGGAATAACCCAGCCTCATGGCTTAGTCGTCGTGGTCGTACGGTCATGTCAGAGTGTTATTCCAACATATGAAGTAATCATCTAGTACTTAGTAGGCTTTTCCTATCGACTGGTAGAAGACCGCAATAAGATAATTCTTAACAGGTATTAAGAATTGACTTACGCTATGAATAGGTGCCGCCTACTCGTTGGCAACTGTAAGCAGGTTTGTGTGTGTATGGTAAATATTCAAGTTAATAATAAGGAAGCAAGGTATAATTGTTGTCCTTACTCTGTTCTTTCAATGATGTGGTAGCTACAAAAACACAACCATCTCCACTTTGCATATCGTAGGAATTCACTCATCCAAGTTCCTCAACATCAGTTTACTATGACTTTGTTGTTGGCAAACTATCCCATACCCATTAGAAAACCCGGGATCCCGTTCGCTCTCCCATATGTGTTCGCATAACTTTATGCATGGTGTACTTTAAGACCTGAGCCTACTCAGAGCGAGCTGGTGATTGGAAGACGTATTGGATCCCCTGAGTCTACACTGCTTTCGCGACCCGAGTAGCTTGGCGTTGAGCAAGTTGAGTTAGGCTTTACAAATCCCAGCAATTAATATGTGTTCCAAAAACAAGGTTGTTTGAGGCCGAAGATACAAACCACTCATAGCTTTGCCTAAATGTGTACGCGGTATCTCCAAGACCAATGTTTTCGTGACCCATCAAGTAGTGCTTCCATGTCGTTCACGTATTCTTCCATACCTGACTCTGAACCAGCGACCAGACCAGCCTTGACACTTTCATAAGCCCACTGGCGTGCTTGGTACTCGTATCCTGCGCCGTTCCACTCACGTGCCGCAATTGCATACGCCTTGCCAATAAAGGTGTGTAGACCCTCTTGTTTGTACAGACTCACTAGCAATTCAGCCATTGCTGTTGGCTCTGCTGGGGCAATTTGCCGACTTTCCAAGTAGCTTTCCAACAGTAAAATTTCATTAATTCGATCGTCGGACAAGTCAGTAAACTTGCTTGAGGCTTTGCATTGACTGCAAGCACATTCAAAGCCGAGGTTATCCTTCGAATATTCCTGACGGTCCTGAAGAGTCTGGATAGGATTAAGGTACGATATGGTGATTTCCTCGTTGGCAGCAATATCACGGGCTGCGTACAGCCTATGTGCAAGTATATCCCAGTCCCACTGGGTTGCCGCATTTGGTCGACAGCTATGGTTGATCTTCTGTAGTAGTGTTTGTAAGTCATGAAGCTGTCGTTCGACTTTTTGTATGTCTTACGATACTTACAGATATGTTTGCATGCACCGCAATCATGCCAAGATCTGATTCATTGTCCAAGCCTGGCCACTGCGGTACAGGCCCGCCAGAAACACCATAGCCATTTGTCCACATTCGTTGCGTCAAGTTCTGTCCGCATGGTCCTGCGTAGAGCTCGTGAAAGATTTGACGTGTGGTTCTTGGCAACTTCTCCACAGCCAATGTCTGAATTGCTATTCGATCTTGCTCAGACGAGACTGCCTCTATGTAATTGCGGTCTAGAAAGATGATAGGTGGCTCTTGAGTGATGAGACTGCCTGCCGGTATGTATTTTGTTGCAAATATGCCTCGACCTTTTGTTCCGCTGGGTCTTGTTTTGAATAACGACTCGGGAGGAAAGTTGGTATGAGTCGATACGGCCGCCATTGTTTTGAAAAT